GAAGTGGTGGAGTCACCATCCCTGGAGGTGTTCAAGAAACGTGTAGATGTGGTGCTGGGGGACATGGGTTAGTGGGTTGGGTGGTGTTGGGTTGACAGTTGGACTTGATGATCCTTGAGGTCTCTTCCAACCTTTATGATTCTATGAAAGCCTTCTTGGCCCCCTTCCCCAATCCTGCCAAAGGTATTTGTGCTGAGAAGCCATACATCTGCATACACCGATTAACCCCTCTGTGGACTTGCTTGTGAGGAGTTATTGGCTAAGAGGCAATGACAAAGGAGAGGGAGAGAGACTCATCCACCAGGATTTGAGATGGATTATCCATCCAAGCATATCCTGGAAACAATAAAGAGGAAATTATCTGAGCCAGGCCAGCAAAAATAGCCAGCCTAGGCTTGTGCCAGTGGTGGGCAGATGATAGCTGTGTACATCAGAAACAAGAAAGATGGTAGGGCTGGCCTTGTTGAAGGATGTTGGATGTGTGGGAAGGTGCCGGCAGGTTGCAGGGATTTGAGCCTGAGTAGCCAGAGAGATGGCTGGAGCAGAGCCTGGTGGAGATAGCATGCTAGTGGGCAACGTTGTGGCTTGTCGTTGCCCAGACATGCAAGGGGGACACAGAGAATGGAACCAGACATGACCAGGGAGGCTGGAACCCACGCACATAAAACATGTCCTATCTCTGCCCTCCTTCCTCATCCTGGGGATTTCTTCCCCGGCTGAGCAGCTCTTAACCTAACCTTTGTTTAATCTTTTCTTTTCCTTTCTATCAGGCAGTCATTAAAGCATGAAAATGTGGCCAAAATACTTAAATGAGGTTGAAATTGAAAAGATTAAAATGCTGGCTGAAGTGTCCTTGCAAACAGGAGATTCTGAGAGTCTTGGGGCCCTCAGACATTTTCATAATAGGCCTACAAAGGCTAAATAAATCCATGGTCATTAGCTCTGAAAATCTGCTTAGCCTGCTGCTCTGGGAGTGGGATGTAGATATCCCTGCTCTTTCTAGAGCATCAGCATCAATCAGGTGGTGGCAGTGAACTTTAGGCAAAGTCTGGCAGAACGGTCAAGGTATGTGGTCCATCTTATCTGTGGCCAGTGTTGAATGAACGTTTAGGGGAGGTTTAGGCTGGATGTTAGAAAAAGTTTCTTCACTGAAGGAGTGAGCAAACATTGGAACAGGTTGCCCAGGGAAGTGGTGGAGTCACCATCCCTGGAGGGGGTCAAGAAACGTGTAGATGTGGTGCTTGGGGACAGGGTTTAGTGGGTTGGGTGGTGTTGGGTTGACGGTTGGACTTGATGATCCTTGGGGTCTCTTCCAACCTTAATGATTCTATGATTCTGTGAAAGTCTGTCTCCTTTCTCTTGGCTGATCTTGCTGGATATAAGTACCCACTGCTTGGGCTGTACCTCATTCCAGATGTAAGAGCAACCATTCAGTCTTCAGGAGTGCTGTCCTCTTGCCACTGTTCACCAAGAAATATGCATCTTTGTTGCCCCTGCAAGACAGGTTCTTCAGTCAAGTAACATAAGGATAAAAAATGCAAGATAGCTTGAAACCTGAAGGGACTTTTTTTTTATCTTTTTCCGTATCTTTAAAATCAAAGTAAAAGCTTGTGTACTGCAAAAGGATGACTTATAAAAATAACATACACAGGAGTTCCCTGTGGGAAGGGGGCAGGAGCCAGACAGCAACTGTGTTTTCTCACTCTTACCTGGAAGAGCAAACAGGAGAAATAGCCTTGCTGTCCAGAGAAAGATGAAAGATAAAAGCTCCCTAGCTGTGAGCTGATGTCTGCTGTACCTTCGTGGCTTGCTAGCCAGATGGGGTCCCAAGGCTTAATGCTGAAAGTCCTGTGCTGTGCAGATAGTGGTGTAAACCTAACCAAGCTGCTGGGTTTACAAGACCAGAGCAGGAGCGGTAAAAATGCATTGTGTGTGTCTGGGGGAACTGGGGAGTTATTCTGGCCACTGGGACGTGGGGATTGGCGATGGATGGGAATCAGCAGCGGGTCTACTGAGACATAGTGAGATCAGCAGTTGAAGCTTGGTAAGGTCTGGTGGTGCTGTAGGGCCCGTTTCTGAGGGTGGCTGGGGAGGAGGGTGAAGAGGAGCAAAAGGAGTGCTGCTTTTCCCCTGGGATATCTCTAGTTCACTCATTGCTTGCATTTCTTTTGATCTTCTCGTGCAGGTGAGATGGACCAAAACCGCTGGCAGCGCATCGGACAAATTCCAAGAGACATCAGTGCTTAACGAGACCCTTCGGATTGAGAAGATCCAAAGGCTGCAGGGGGGCCGCTATTACTGTAAAGCAGAAAATGGGGTTGGGGTCCCTGCCATCAAGTCCATTCGAGTAGATGTGCAGTGTAAGTCGTTTAGCGGCAACCCAGACTTTCCCACAGTTCTACTGCATGTCTCTGCGTCGCTGTGGGGCTGGCAGGGACCTGCATTGCCCTAGGACCACGTGCACCTGATTCAGGAGCAAAGGGACTGTTGTGGTGTCCTGAGGGTCCATTTCCCCTAGGGGGTTAGATCCATAGCTCTGCCTGTCCATGGGAGTTGTTCCTATCGAGGTGCTGTGATGTCTGTCGCTGCCAGGGGCCCCGAGCACTTGTCTCAGATGTAGTGTTGTAGATGGCTTCTGCTTGCTTTGGATTCGTTTTGCAGGACCGATGCTTCTTGAAGTTGGTGGTGCCTCAGATGCTGGGGGCATTCCGGAAACCAGTCCCTCCTCCCAGCATTGGTGCCTCTGCAGAGCAAAAGGCTCTGGGATGCACCTGAGCAGGCTGGGTTATGATGGGGTGAATGTGAGGGAAGCTGTGAGGACCCCTCAGTCTCAGCAGTGACTCGATGTTTCCAGTGCCCGTCCTTCTTGTGTCCCAGAGATGCTGTTAGTGGTTCTCCACCTTGGGCCCCAAGTTTTGAAGGTTTCTCATGCTGGCTTAATGTTGTTTATTCTTGGGCTGCTGAGGCCAAAAGGGAGGGAGATTAAACTTTATCCCATAACCCCCATAGGGGAGGAATCAAAGAAATAAAGTCTAGACAACGTTTGATGAGATTTGTTGTCTTGGGGAAGATGACCATTCTGCTCATTGTCCTTGGTTATCCACTATTCCAGTTCCCTCCAACCCCAGCAACACCAAATCCCTCTCCTCACTCATATCTTCTGAGAAGGCCTAGGCAGCAGGAAGTTGATGCTAAAAAGATGGAAAGTATTATAAAAGACCTCTTTGCTTCATCAAAACCCCTGGACCTGCCTGGAGTCTGGGCATAACTTTGCTGATGACAACTGTTACCCCTAAGAGCTGCTTTTAGTCCTGCTGTCCAACCCTGGGATGAGAGCTAGTGCGTTCAGGCAGCCTGCTGCCTTCCTTTTAGGTATTGTGACCCTCACAAAGTACACCAGGGACTTGAACATCCTTAGCCTTTGGTAGACTCATGATCCACAGTTGTATTCTATGGCTTGGAGCAGCTCCCATCTCTCTCCCTCCCTTGCCCTGCCCTGTACAGGGGGTAGTGTAGCATGAGCACCATCCTGCAGGTTTGGAAGATAGATTGCTTCATCAGCACCTCCTTTGGATAGGATGAGCATCTCTTTATGGGCATTGTGTAGCTTTGGAGGAGTCCTGATGCTCACCTAGACCTGCTTGGCTTCTCTGCCTGTTTCTTCTCCTGCACGTGGTGGAGGAGTATGATAGCTCTCCATTGCAAATGGGTCTTGCTTTTCTTAAGCCTTAGTAGGACACCTTGCCAGAACCTGTGTCTTTAGGAACAGGACCGTGGCGTGAATTTTCTTACATGCTAAGGGTGTTCCCTTTACTTCTGGGGTGCAGACTGGAGCTAGAGTGATGTAGTGTCCTGTGGTCCCTCATACAGCTCTGACCTGTAGAACTATGGGGCTAATGGGATGGCCAAGGGCTTTCTCATACTAACATCTACTCTGCAGATGGACTTGGTAACGCACCTCTGTTCTGCTCATTTGGGTTTTGGGGAGGAGAGGCTATTTTCTGCTAGTCTTTGCAGTCGTTATAAGGGAACACACAGGAAAAGTCGCAGTTTTTTTGTTGAATGCTCACCCAGGCAACCTTCAGCTGAATGAACCAGAATTTGAAAACAAACCCCTTCTTTCCCCACATCCCAATTTGTAGTTGGAGGTAAGTAATCACCCTCATGTGAACCTTGGTGTCTTTGACAGCTAGTGCTAGTCCTCACTCATACTTTTAGTATTAGACGATGAGGTTGTGCGGAGAGCCACTGGTGCCAAGAGGATATTAAACTGGAACCACTAAGCTGTGTCGCAAGTTATTCCTTTGCCCCAAGAGGGCATCAAGTGAGACTTTAAAGTATTGGTTAGATACTGGCAGAGAGGCAGCTGCTGTTTGGAGTATTGCTGTGTGGGAGAGAGGGAAAGTAAAGAAAAAGAAAGAATGGATGTTTACGAGCTCCTCTTGCGCATGAAACATCCCATGTGATCATCTCCATAAGCAGCCTGGGGCCAAATTTATCATTTGTGCAGCTCACTGACATCAGCGGCGTTACTCGTACATCAAGGACATACATATCGTCGCAGGTCCTATTTTAGCTTTTCTCAGGAGGGCTAGACCTCGAGCTGGCTGCTACGAAAGAATTCTGAAAGATTCGAGGGAGGAAAGGTTTAGCAACTGAAAGGAAAATGTTGTTTTCTGTGTGGGGAGTAGCTGGGAGCCAGGAGACCCAAGTGGTATCTTCTTTGATCAGTAAGGGAAGTGTTTTGCCATGCATCCTGCTGAGAAATGGAGCCTCGGAAGGATGGTGGCTACAGAGTTACTCATGTAAACTGTGAAAAAATAAAGGAAGGTTAAGGACAAAGAAGGGGGAAGGAGGAGAGGCTGTGCCCAAGGTCCTGGTCCAAAAGAATTTTAGTGAAAAATTCAGTCACCCTATGGCCACATGGAGACAGCACTATATAGAGAGAGGAGTGTTGTGTTTTGGTTGGGTTTTTTTTTCCACTTGTGTATATTTTTCTTCAGCCTTGGGTTGTCTGGGTTTTGATTTTTTTTTTTTTTTTTTGGTGCCTTGTCATTGTTCTGCTAATGGCTCTACTCGTACCTCTGAGCTATGGTGTGGTCAAGCCGACAAATCTCAGGTCCCATTACAATTGCTGTCTACCAAGCATACAGCTCATTAAAATATGCAAATCCACAAGTTGGCACTTGTGATTCAGCAGAGAAGATGCGTTATTGGGATGACACGTTAGCAGAAACTCATCCTTGCTTCTCCCTTCCTTTCTGGGAGTGAGACTTTCAAACTTACAGATCTCTAAAATAAAATATTGTGAAACTAGGTGGCATAGGATTGCAGGAGGTGATAGGCATGTGTCCTTTTCCTCTCGGCTAACATGTGGAAGACAGTGCTGGCAGCACAAGGGGATACTGGGTGCATGTGCCTCAGTTTCCTCGCAGTTGAGGATGGGGTCATAAGGCTGCTAAAAATGTAGAATTGCTTCAGCTGAGCTCAACAGCTGCCTTATAAGACGTGTTTAAGAGCATGGGGACAGATTTCAGTTTTAGAGGGTCAGTTGGTCCCATCTTGTCAAATGGGATCCTTACATTTAACCCCAGTCAGTCTCCAGGTGGTTCTGGGAGGAGAATTCCTCTGAGGTTTTGCCCATGCTTCCTTGATGTTCAAACATCGGTGTCTGGGTGCAAAAGCCCGAGAAAATGATCCCCTTTTTAGCAGGAGGGCAGCCCTTGGGGAGCAGTGTGCCCTGGGTGGATGGAGAAAATATCCTCCCTGCAGGGCTGTTGCTTGTGTCCTTGCAAGTGAAGTGACTGATGACCATGGATCCGATCATGACGGCTGCGTCTCTGGTACAGGCATGGTGAGGGAGTGATAAGGAATATTTTCTGTAAAGGGAGAAAACTGAAAAGAATCGGACCAGTTTAGGGGTGGGTGATAGGGATGAAGTGAGCAGAAGTTGCTGAAGAGGGAGAGTCAGTACAGACCTTGAAAATAAGAGAATACACCGAGGATATTCTAATAGGAAGAGAAATAAATTGTAGATACCTTTCACAGTGTTGTTGCATCTTGTGTTCACATGGCACCCAATGAGACTTGCTCCTCTCTCCATCTCGGCTCCTTGATCTTGTCCTTACTTCTACTACCCTGTGCCTTGAAGGTTTGTCATGTCCTTTGTGTGGGCATCTCCCAGCCGTGGGCTGAGCCCCGTGATTTCAGGAGGGATGTGGAAAGTGGGAGCAGAAGAAATGACAGTGGAGCAGAGTTTCCTGGGATCCTTCTGATGTCTCACTGGAGTAGAGAGCAGTGATTTGGAGTTTCATTGGGGAAGGTGAAGCAACAACCTGGTCTGAGAGGCACGTGGCCGGCCGGCAGTTTGCTGGAGGACCATGTAAGATCTGCAAACCAGAGGGTGCTTTCTGTTCTCTGAAGGTTGTGTGGTGAGCAGGAGAATTTTGGCTTCTCCTGTCTGTTCCCTTTTGATGTTGTTTGTGTGACCTGCCCTCAGATCAGCTCTTAATTCAGCAGTTGGCATCAGCCAAATGTGTGGGAGCTTCCCCTCTCCCCTGTGGTGCCTGGTGCTCTGCAGGCTGTCCGTGCAGCCCAAGCATCACTAACAACCGCTGCGGCCCTCCTTATCTTCCTTCCAGATCTAGATGAACCTGTTCTCACTGTGCACCAGACCATCAGTGACGTACGTGGCAGCTTCTACCAAGAGAAGACTGTCTTCCTCCGCTGCACTGTCAACTCCAACCCGCCAGCTCGCTTCATCTGGAAACGGGGAGCTGAGACACTTTCCCACAGTCAGGACAATGGTGTGGACATCTACGAACCCCTCTACACACAGGTGAAAAAAACAAACCAAACCCTCCACCAGCTTGTGTTGAGCATCTCGCTGATCCAGATTCCTCCCTGGAAGCAGGCGCTTCTTTCCCTGCATGGGTTCCGATGCTGGGGAGGGGGTGGTGGCCAGTGCAGGGAGCGTTGTCTCCAGAAGGGCTGGTAGAGCCTCCTTCTGCGTGTGGGTTCCCAGGGTACAAGAGGAGCAGAGCAGAAGGAGGGAGTGTGACAGCCTGGAAGTCCCTTGCTCTTTTTGGTGCTGTCCCTGAGAGCAGGTCACAGGTCCCCTCATGTGGCTGTTGGATGAGACTAAAATCAAAGCAAAAACAGCCCCACATCGGGTCTCTTCTGTCTACCATTACTTTTTTTCCTTAATTGAGCACACAAGCTCCATAAATCTGGGGAAGCTCTTCCTGTTTAGCAGCGTGAGCAAACAGCAGGCACTGCCGTGGGGTCCCTGGGGTCAATGATGATGAGCTTTTCCTAATGGCCACAAACAACAAAGGCAACCCAACTGCCTGGACACCTTCTGACTGTCGTCCTGTAACAGGGAATCCACATCCCTTGTGCATCCCTAGGGCATCCCATGCCCTACCCCTCTGAACTCCACTTTCTTCCCAGTAATGAGCCTGCCAATGCCCTGGGAGATGGGGAGGAGTATTTTTCTTTCACCAAGCACTCTGGGCACGTTATCCTAAGCTGAGCTCTGGCTCTGAATGTCCTTCAGATGCTAACCAGCTCCAGCACTTCCAGCAAGACCATGAGGCAGCATGAAGCAGTGATGGGTGGGACGGGAGGGCTGAAAGGGCACCTCCCCAGGACACCAGTTTCATCCCATGCACCTCCCCACGCTCCCAAAGCTGGGCTCTGAGCACATTCTGGCTGAGTTTGGTTTCAGAGTGATGCCCCAGGCAACCTTTCAGTTAATGTAGTTGTGTTCATGTTTTATTGAGACGCCATCTCCGTAGGTCGTGGAAATGGCCAGCCAAATGGAAACGTTCGGGGTGATGAGAGAAGAGAGCTGTGGGTTAGCAGCAGATTTGCAGAAATGCTGTGGGACAGCACTGCTCTTTGGCCCTGAAGAGAGCTTTGTCCAGTCCAGTGCTGTGTGGCCTCCAACTGTGACACCCCGACCTTAAAGGAAGCCACCGTGGGCTCTTCCAGCTTTTGCTAAGCTCAGTGTAATTAACAAGAGACATTGCTTAATGAGAAGATGTCTTAGGGCTTGAGATATTCAGCTAAATAAGGTATCTGGCAGAAATTCACCGCGTTGCAGCATTAACATGTGAATGACCCAGCATCCTGCAGCTCCTGTTGGGCGATGCTCCCACCACGATGGGTCATTCCCAGCTCTGAGAGAAAGGGTGTTAGGACTGCTGTGCTCCCACAGGCGTGCCCTTATGGTCCTCTCCTTAGCACCAGCATTGAGTTTGAGTTGGTAAGAGTTGAAGTTAACAAAAACATACCTCTGCAGTGCCGTTGGGAGGGGAAAGTCTTGCCGGAGCTCAGATGCACTTTGTTTAACAAAGCACCTTTCCCAGGGGTTTGTAATATTGCCGTAGAGATTAACTGGTATCAATGGCAGGTTTGGGTAGGCTTTTACATTAAAAATGAGGTGACGAATTTCCTGTTTAAGCTTTTTAAAACTTATTTACACTGAAGGTTTATACACATTTGCACAACGTTTACTAATCAATAAGCGGGATACATATGAGCCGGTAAGTAGTTGACATGCACATTGTAAATGTCATCATTTGTGTGACATAGCAGCAAATCTCAGGGGACAGGACTTTCATGGGGTTATTGGTCTCCTAGGTGTTTATCTTTCTAATTTACTCAGTTCAGATCTTTGTTCTCTGCATATTAGCGTGCCTGAGCTCATCGTCCAGTCCCTTGAGGTGGTCCTCGAGAGGATTTGTTGTGCTGACACCTTCTCACATTTGCAGGCAATTATGGAATGGTTTCTGCAAATGGGATTTAGACAAACACAAGAAAAACAGCAATAAGCTGTCACGGGAAGACATATGAGTTGCAGGGTGTGCAAACCACGGGATGCATCTCGGAGCTTTCCGCATTCCATAAATAAAAATATACAGAATGCATCTATTGTTAATCTAGCAACTTGATTCCGTTTCTATAACGAGTCAGTAACTAATGGGGTGCCAGGGAAGGACTTTGTTAGAGTATGAGAAAAAGCTATCAGAGTCTGAGCAGTCACTCTGGATTTACACCAGCAGAAATGAGATGGGAATCTGGAGAAGACAGATCAGAAAGCTTTGGGGGGGGAAGTTTTTTGAGTATTTCTCTGAATTATCTATTTTCCCCTGTACTGCAAAATTTTACAGCCTAACTGTTGAACTTGCCATATTTAGGCCACCATTAGTGCCTGAATCTGCTGTGATTTGCTTTGGGTTTGCAATGTCGAGACCCCAGTGACTTCCCTTGAGTTCTTACTGACATCTCCCTGGGACATCCCAGGGTCTGTTTGGGGATGTTGGGGGTTTTTGTAGTTCAACAAGATGATTCTGACAGCGGTTGATGAGGAATTGTGCCTAGACCTGTTTGGCAGTGCTCTCAGGTTAAATGTCAGTCAGTTGCTGGGTGTTTTGAGAAATCCTGGAGGTGGAGTTACCACGGCAAAGATTTGCGTCTCCTTTGTATATAGCTAGCAGGGCTTGGAGTCTGCCCAGTTCCCCAGGGTTTCAATGGGAACTCCTGGTAATCTGTGAACTTTGGAACAGGTTATGGACCTGCAATAACGAGCTGTGCTTTATACCCCTGTGTCTTTTTTCCTCCCTTTTTTCCCCTGACTCCCAAGGGTGAAACCAAAGTCTTGAAGCTGAAGAACCTGCGGCCCCAGGATTACGCCAGCTACACGTGCCAGGTGTCCGTCCGCAACGTCTGCAGCATCCCTGACAAATCCATCACCTTCCAGCTCACAAATACCACAGGTAAGAGGGGGATGCAGAAGGTCCCCACAGCCCTCTGACCCCTCCAGGGCTGCTCAACCAGGGTAACCCAGCACCCTGTCCGGGTCCCGCAGCACCTCGTGTTCATGGACGTGGCTGCTAGGATGACGAATCCTTCACGCACAAGTGTCGTGGCCAGGGATGCTCTAATTTCTTGTAGCTCTGCGTGTAGCCGGTGCTTTGGCCAGACCTGCTGTGGGATCATTAAAACAGGCTACGTGGAGGTGTTGAAGCACTATGTAGTTTTTAATACAGACAGTGGTTTATTTATTTATAATTCTAAGTGACTTTAAAAATAGATTCGATACAGTCTAGAGCGGGGCAGATGCTGCAGGAGTTCTTACAAATAATTCATTCATGTGTGACTCTGGCCTGGTTTGCTCAGCACCTCCCAGCTAACGGGCTCCGCTGGTGCCGATGCTTGTGGAAAGCACATATCTCCAGTGCCTTCCTGATAAATAAATTTTACACTGATATTCATCCCAGCAGTGCTTGAGTGCGCCTCCAGTTTGGTGCTTCTTGCTTGACCTGCAAGAACTCACTGATAACTCGCTAACACGTGCCAAATACTTGCAAAGACCTGGTTGCAACCTGTCCATTAAAAAAAAAAACAACACACCCACAAAAACCCCCTCACCCACAAAGCCCACACATGTGTTGAATAGTTTTGAATAATAAGTAAATGTCAGGAAATTGCTTCCAGCCCTGGGGTGTCCCATGATCAGAAAGAAAGGCATTGTAGTTGTTTGAATTATTCACCTCTGTAATGTAGCACAAAGCAGTTTGCATCCCTTGTGTCATCCTTGTGCAGTGGAAACAGAACTCTTTTGATGTTGCCAACTGTTGATGGGATATTGTTGGTACTGTATAAATTATGTTTATTGATCTGACTTGAGCCCAAGGTGCTGAGCAATAGTTGCATCATTTTATGTAGAAAGAAGACAGAAAATGAGATTAAGAAAGCAAGCTACAGCTAATGTAAAAAAATATATATATATATTTTCTCTATCTAGTAAGATCTTGGAACGCGTCTTGAGCAACTCATACCACTGCCTGACTCTCTCAGGATGAGACTGTAGCGAATACTGGAATATTCCCTTCAAAAACTTATCTGGTGCTCATGATGAAGAAAGCAATCTCATCCAGCTCTTCTTCCCTGTTGTGTCTTTACCTTTGAAGAGTTAGAAAATCAAATTTCTCTTCATATCTCTACCCCCCCTACCAGCCCAAGCACAGGGAAACTATTCTTTTTGGTCCAGCCCATTTATTGAGTAGGAGGCATTTTCAGGTCGTAGCCAGATCAGAAGCCAGTGGTACAGCTGAATTTACACCAGTTTCTTAGGTACTTACCTAAGCTCTGATCCTGGACCACGTAGCACGTACCTCTAGTTCTTTTTTTCCTCTTGTTTAGTTATAGCTGCATATTTATGCATAGTTACAGGGGAGCCTGATACTACAAGCTCAAAGGGGCACATAGCAAATTGGATTACAAGCTGAGCAGGGTTTATGTTAAATAACACAAGTATATTAAACATGAAATATTATCTGGCTTACTTGCCCTGTAGGTAGTATTGTCCGTAGACTAGAAAATATTTAAAGAAAAATATTTAATTCCCTCCTTTTGTGTTTAAGTCTTTTCTTTCCCTCTTGCGCTCGTGCTTTCACAGCCTCCATCACCTTGGCTGTGCCCAGAATCCTGGTGCCTTTGCTACCGAGGAGCGCCCAAAGGGTGCCGAGGTGCATGGAAATCACTCTTAAATATTTGTAGGCCCAAGTACTATGTTGGGTCAGGTCATGTCAGGCCAAGGGAATTTTCTCTTCCCAGTTCATTTGCTGTTCCTCAGCTGGCTCGCTTTGGCTCCTCTGGCAGTGGCCTTTGGGCAGATGGTAGTCTCCACCAAGGAGATGTGTTTCTCCTGACCTCTGCGTCAGCAGCTTGGCCCTTGCAGCAGGGGATGGGTTCTTGGGCTGCAACTTGAACAGGAAAGGGGTTTCCCCTGCTCCTCCTCTGTCCTGCTCTGGTGTGTGGCTCTAGAGCAGCAGGTTGGGTCTGCAGAGCCACAGGACCAGCTCAGCACAGGGTCAGGCTGACGTTCTCCCCTGCCTCGATTTCTGCAAAATTAAGCAGCCCTAGCTGGTTAATTCTCCTGCAGTTTTACTGCAGCAAATTGGACTTCAAAGGGAATTGAAAGCGACTCTTTGTTTTTAATGGTCCTTTTGCTGCTCGGCAGACTCTGCCAGCAGGTTTCCTGAGCCAAGAACAAAAGGAATTGCCACAGGTTACAAATAAATGAGATTCATCTCCTGCATAACAATGTCTGCAGACTGTTAACCCCTGTCTGCTGACAGGAGTGGGAGTGGGGGTGGAAGCTGCCACAGCCAGGGCTCTGCATTGGGGCACACCGTGGGAGCTAGCTCCCTGGAGCTGTGTGGGTGACAGCTTTGCCATTTCCCTGCCTCCCTCTCACATGCACACACGACCTTTTTTTTCCATGCTGCCTTACCCAGAACTGGGCAAGATGAGTGTTGGTCAGATACGTGCACATCAAACCCTGCAAGAGCCCTACATCTTACCCAGAGCCTGCAGGACCTCTGGTTTGTGCTCCCCAGCTCTGACATCTTCTCTCTGGATGTAGGCTGGTGTCAGCCTTTCTCTGGCTCTGATGGGGATGGATGGAGATTCCCCACCAAGATGCTGCGTCTGTCAGTTTGTCTGTGCCCTGTGAACCTGAGACCGGTTCAATGTCAGAAGGCAGGACCAGCTATTTGGTGTCAGCTACGCTCAGCTGTCAGCCTGTTAGTGACACCAGTGTGTCCTGCCCGACCATAGTGAGTTGAGCTGTTGCATTCCTGGACTTCATAGTGTCTCATGAAACTGCCTGGAGCTTGGAGAGGATGTACAAATCCTTCTTTTGCCGATTATTGTGCATTAACCCTTGCAAAATGTTTCCAAGACTCCAACAAAGAGACTTTTTGAAGGCTCTGAGTGCAGATTGTGGCCTCCTGAAAGTCGAGGGCTCCAGCCACTGGCCTCAAAACGCCCAGTGCAGGTGGCAGAGGAGCCACCTTCTTCCTTAGGCACAGCTGGCCACCTCTGGCATGTGCCATGGACAGGGAGAGGCCACTAGATTCAGTGCACCAAAGCAACATCCCAGCACGCCAGTAGTCATGCTGCTAAATTACGGCACCGGTGCTGGGAAGAGAGCGGTCCTCCTCGCCTTGTTTGTATGGGCTGTAATTCAGAGATCCCATACAAATCCAGCACAGCTCATTAACGCGGGGTCCAGGGAGAGAAGAGGCAGAAATAATGATGCCGTTAAATCAAGCTTCATGAATATGGAACAATGTCTTATTTTGCATTATTATGGCTGTTACTTAAAACATCCTCCCCGCCTTTGTGCTGGGGACTGCTACTTTCTCAGCTCTGTCTGGATGGAGCCAGCGATGGTGCTGACAGGGGCTTTAAAAGGCTTTTCATGGGATGAAATAGAGAATACAAAGGGAAGTTTTTTGGATCAGTTCCTGAAGGGGAATGTAGTGAAAAGGGTGCAGAAATAAAATAAACCAAAAACAGGTACTAGGGTATTCAAAGGAGAGGTTACCTAGACATTTGGAATCAGTCTCATTTATTCAGTTGTGCACGAAAGACAATCCCTGTGATCTGGTCTGTAGCCCCCAGGTTTGCAGAAAAGTGTATTTGACACCTCTGGAGGTGAAGGAGGTTAGGAGGGGGTGCAGAGCTGCTCTTCATGGTATGTTATGGTGCAGACAGGTTCTGGTCCTCTGTGTCAGGCTCCAGCTGCCTGGCAAAGGCTTTGCCTCTGAAAGACATCTCGTTGGGAGTTAGAGATGGAGAGGCATCTCATGGGATAGCCTTATTTTAATGGTAGACCTTCCCCAAAACTCCTTGGGACAGCACATCAATATGGAAGGAGAAGTTTGGTCCCAGCTAACCCTGAACCTGAACAGCTGGTGGGTTCAGGCGGGTTCCTCTAAGCCTGTCCTTTCACCCATCCATCAGGGTGGAGCTCTGGCCAGGCAGAAGGAGCAGGCTGAGCCTGGGCATGCACCTGGTGCCCAGCCTGGCTTTCCCTTGGGGTTGTGAGCGCTGTCCAGCAAACACCAAAATCCCGGTGAGCTTAAGGTCCTTTCCAACCCAAACCATTCCATAATTCCCAGTGTGTTTTGGATCGGGTCCTGAGATGTGGATGCCCCATCCCTGGAGGGGTTCAAGGCCAGGCTGGATGAGGCTTTGGGCAACCTGGGCTAGTGGGAGGTGTCCCTGCCCATGGCAGGGGGTGGAACTGGATGATCTTTAAGGTCCTTTCCAACCCAAACCATTCTGTGATTCTATTTGATGATTCTATGCTAAGCTCAATCCATGGCTGCAGCTTCCCATGCCTTGTGACAATGAATCTCTTGTTCTCCTGCATTGTTTGTTTTCTTTCTTTCTTAGGGCTCGGACCAGTGTGCTGTTTCTGTAGAAGCCATAAACAGCCTAACTGTGATTCACACAATAGTGTTGGAGTCAGGAGGGTGAAATACAGGGAGAGCAGAAGGCACTGCAGGGGAGCAGACTGGTTGTGGTGCAGGTCGGTAATGTAGAGCCACAGTGGCTTTTCATTGCCCTTCTGCCTTGCTGTAGTTTATAGAATCACAGAGTCATTAAGGTTGGAAAAGACCTCAAGGATCATCAAGTCCAACCGTCAACCCAACACCACCCAGCGCATTGTTTGCATCAGGAGTCAAGAAGCCTCTAGCCTCGCGTTTTCCACTGAGAAGTCTGTCTGGTTGCCAGTCCGAGCTGTGCAAAGGGGTTGTTCAGGTTTTTATTCTGACCAGAGTCCTAAGCCTAGAGAAGCTGCACTGAACACTGTTCAGATATCATCTGTAGCTTGTGCCCCAATCCTAAGCGCTAGCGGTGGAGCGTTTTAGGTTTGAACTCCATTCTGGGGCGGTGTGAGGTTCTGCCTGCAGTGTGCTATCACCGTAAAAGAGCTTTAACTCAAAGAAATGGTAATGATAATGCTTTAGGTTCCCAGGCACCTTGCATTTGTAATGAATTCAGGGCTCCCTCCGGCTCTCCCTGCTCAAATCAGCCATCTCCAAGAACAAATCCTAGAAAGCATGAAGCTGTGCCCAGGCAAGTGGGTAGGTCTTTTTCAAGCTCCGAAGTGTCACTCTCTGTCCTCTTCCAGCCCCACCTGCTCTGAAGCTGTCTGTCAATGAGACGCTGGTGGTCAATCCTGGTGACAACATCACTATGCAGTGCTCTCTGACGGGTGGTGACCCGCATCCGGAGGTGGTTTGGTCTCACTCTCCTGGCCCAATGCCTCCCAACAGCCTTGTGCAAGGAGGCAACCTCACCATCTGGAGGATCCACGTGGAGGACTCGGGCTACTACAACTGCACAGCCATCAACAACGTGGGGAACCCGGCAAAGAAGACAGTGAACCTGCTGGTGCGCTGTAAGTTGCCCTTTTTCTCCGGGCATGGATTTTCAGGGTGGAAGGAGGGGCTCATACCAGGCTGTAGCACTCTCCTGGGCTGGAGAATGATCCCAGCTGGCCAGATGTGAGGCCCTAGGGATATTTTGTAGGAACATAACTGGGGGAGATCTTGGGACAGGCTTTCGCATGGAGATGTTGCCTTTCTGAGGAGCAGAGAGCTTGTTGTCCTGTCCTATGCAGGACATTTTGCTGTCCCTAACCAGTTTTGCATTTGTGTTCATCCTAGCTATGAAGAATGCCACGTTCCAAATCACCCCTGATGTGATCAAAGAGAGCGAGACCATCCAGTTAGGGCAGGACTTGAAGCTTTCATGCCACGTGGATGCTGTCCCTCAGGAGAAGGTTGTCTATTCCTGGTACAAGAATGGGAAACCAGCCAGGTTCTCAGACCGGTTGCTCATCACCAGAAATGACCCTGAGCTCCCACCGGTGACCTGCAGCTTGGAGATTATTGACCTGAGATTCAGTGACTATGGTACCTACCTGTGCGTGGCTACCTTCCAGGGAGCACCCATTCCTGACCTCAGCGTGGAGGTGAACATCTCCTCAGAGACAGGTGAGCCTCTCACATCCTTGGGCAAATATTTGGCTGAGACTGGAGACAGGTAATAGTTACAGCCCCTCTGCCAGAAGTGTTGTGCACCAAGCAGATCTTCCTTTATGTTTTTTCCCTATGAAAAGTCCAAAGTGTAGTCCAGTCAAAGCTACAGAGACAGGTTTAGAGTGTGATTGTGCAGAGAAGCCTCCAAATCATGAAGGAAGAAGGAGGGGGTGGTATTTCACCAAATTTCAGACATCCCTTTGCTTGGAAGAGAATAAAAGAGAAAGCAAGCTGCTCTTTCCTCCCTTTGGCATTGCTTATGAGGAATGTCCCTTCTTTCAGAGCTGTGGCCAGTAGATTGGTGTAATCTGTCATAGCAAGTTCTGTGAAGAGCTTTAATGTTTGCTGGATTGCAATTGCAATCTGTCTTGGGCACTCTGTAGGAGTCCAAGCATTATAAATGCCTCCCCCCTTTAAAATCAGAGTCAAAGCTTCACCCCATGGCTTGGTGAGGACAGGACTAATCTGTGTATTTGTCAGTCACCCTGGGGACTGAAACACAGGGTCTCGGGGCTGCCTTTTGGCTTCTGGGGAGTGGTGGGTCCAGCCCTGCTCTCTGTTACATCCATGTCATCTTGCTGCCTTTCCAGGACCTTGAGGGTATGGCACAAAGCAGCACTGGGCTCGTAATCTGGTGAGGACTCCCAAGGGGAGCCAGCTGCCCACAGTTTTTGTCCTGAACCTTCACAGAACATTTCCTCTCAGTCCCTCATTGTGCTGAACCTATTGGTTGGACTGGTCCCAGTATTGATTCTGGATGTTCCTCCCTTCAGCCCCGCAGCAGAAGGTGCTGTGACTGCTGTCTATGCTTTGGGAAGCCCCTGTCTCCCAGCAGAAACGCTGAGGCCAGCATGCTCCCAATGGGACTGTGCCCAGTGCTCATTATCAGCCTGGAGACCGAGCCCTGACCATGCCATGGACCTACTAAACACCAAAGGGCGTTGCTTCCCTTCTGCTGGCAGCCCTGGCAAGTAGGGTTCTCTGTGTGCCAGCAGACACCATGGGAACCTCCCAATCCTGGTGCCAAGCTGGCTCTCCCAACCTCACGTGGCTGGTGCCACCAGGAGCAATCCTTTTTTGCCCAAGATCACTAGATGGCAGAGTGCAGTTGTGTTGCAGACTGCAAGGGCAGAAAGCAGTGAAGGGCTGGGAGACCCTGGGTGGTCCCACCAAAAGGCTGGGCAGTGGCTGTCGGTGCAGATGTTGCTCTAGGCGCCAGCTGGCCACCACCGCAAAGGAGATGTGTGTGGTGGCAGGTTGCCCTGTGCTCTGGCCCGGCTGGTGGAGGGTGAGCCCCACATACTCCTGTGGATACTGCTGGCGGGGAAGAACAGGAATGCAGCCTGGGGCATTTTGACACCTCTCTTTGGCATCCTGCACCAGCAGGACTGCTTTCTGACCCAGGGGGTGGAAACTGCTGTCCCTGCTGGAGCAGCCCTTCATGCAGCAGCTGAGGCTGTTCAGCATGTGGCATCCCCACGAGCAGACATGAGCCACCTCCAACGTGTGATTCCTGCATAAAAACCCATCAGGTTTCCCCAGACCGCAGGCTCAGAGCAGGAGGGCAGCAGCGGGGGCTCCCTGTTTCCCTGCTGAGCAAAGCCTGAGCTCGCCAAGGTGGCTGCCTCTGCTGAGCATCTCCAAGGAGAGATAGCTTTAATTAAAAATAAAATCTTCAAATACAATTTACAGCTTTTCCCCGTGGAGAAAATTGCCTCTCACTGGGTGAGCAGCTGCTGGTGGTGCTGGGCACTGAGAGCGCTGTCGTTCCTTCATGCCATGCGGGACAGGGTGTGATGAGAATCCCCAGCCCACGGGAGAACTGTGAATTGAAAATGTGGCCTCCCTGTTGCATGGGGAGGTCACAGCAGAGGGAAATTGGGCTGGAGCCATCCTAAATTGCTCTTAAAGCAGCTGCGGGCTGTAACGTGTGCAATTACTGTAGCACGCTCTCCTTTGCTGGAGTTGAATTGAGCTAACATTGGTCAGACCAGCTTGTTACAGCCTCTCAAGTTCTGAACTTTGATTTAAATGGAAGCGAAGCACATGGCCCTTGCAGTTATGGAAGTGTCAATCCAAGCGTCGCCACTGTCAAAAAAGCTTTCAGAAAATGATTACAGCCCTGTTTACCTCAGTTGAACTGTTAACTCTGAAGCCTAATACAAATAAAATGTCAATGTTACCTGACAATGTTACATCCCCTTCCTTTGGTTCTTGGCGGAGTTGAGGACGTGAACAACAAACCTCTTCCCACCGACACCTCTGCACCCTTTAGCTGCGGTCATTGGGTTTCTTTGGAGCTTTCTTTATCAGCAGCAAAAGTTTTGTTTGTCCATTGATATTTCCTGAGCCTTACTGTGCCTCCATCTCTAGACCCAGCTCAACAGTCATGCTAGGTGAGCTGTTCCCAGCCTGGCCTGGAAGGGATGCCAGAAGTCATCTTTGCTGGGACCTGTCTCTTGCTAGAGTGAGCCGGAGATAACTAATCCACCGTGAATCTCAATGTAAAGTAAGCAAAGGCACTTAACAGACCTGGCTCCTTGCTGTGGTTTAGGGGTGAACAGGGGTCCTGGATGTCTGATAAGGCTGCAGATACAATCTACAAACACTAATCCTCTAAGCCTTGGTTTGGGTCTGACCTGTATAGGGGAACTAGGTACCTTGGCAGATAACGACTTCTATTCCTTGGCTGAAAGACTGCCATTGCGTTTGGGAAATTCACTGACCAGAAGTGGATAAATGGATCAAAGAGGCTTTTGCCTTTGGGTTCCTCTGTGTTTGCCCTGCTGCTGGACAGCATTTTGCAACCAGAGGGGTGGGAGCTGGCAGAAGGTCCCAATACAGCTGGTACTTGTCATTGACATTGGGATACATTGTTGGACCTTCGCTGATGCCCTGCAGCGCCAGACCTTGTAGGATGGCTTACACGGGCAGTGTGTTCCCGTAGGGGCTGCACTCTGCCAAGTGGAAACTTTCGGAGTTCGGGGCTGTTCGTGTGACTTGAACACAAACATCTCAAGAATATTCCTTGTTTTGCTGGAAACTTGTATAACAATGCCCTTCTTGTCTCCCTTTTAGTGCCACCAACCATCAGTGTCCCTAAGGGTCAGTCCACAATCACCGTCCGGGAGGGCTCCCGGGCTGAGCTGCAGTGCGAGGTCCGAGGGAAGCCCAAGCCCCCCATCATCTGGTCCCGGGTAGATAAGGAAACCCCCATGCCTTCAGGAACAATGACAATGGAGACATACGATGGGAAGCTGCGCCTGGAGAGCGTGAGCCGAGAAATGAGCGGGACCTATAAATGTCAGACAGCCAGGTACAATGGCTTTAACATCAAACCCCGGGAAGCCCTGGTACAGCTCAACGTGCAATGTGAGTATAACCCTACAGCCCTGGAGCGCCTCTCTGAATGCCTGGGTACACAAAAGCCTGTGGGCTGAGCAGGCTTGACACACTCAGTGATGCTTTCAGGCAGAGTTGACCTTTCTGACTGGGCTGAGCAGGCATGTCTCTTTTATCTGGGGACCTTTGAAGAGTTTCTGTTTAATTGGCCTGGCTGTACGAGGCTAAGGGCAGGATGCCGTATGGCCAGCGTGTTGCAAGTGGAAGGGGAGAGGTATAGTGTGTGTTTGTATACATTGCTTTCCGCTTCCGTGTCGGTGGATAAGTGCAGAACAGCAGCTTTACCGGGTGGGTATTTATGTGCGTTACGTATGTGTTAAATACCTTCAGGGTGCGTAAGTTTGTAAAGTCAGGCACTCAAAAGGTATCAAATGAAAGTTCATTAGACCGTTCCATCCCATAACCCTTTCTTCAGCTTAGTTACCCCAGCTGTCACTTCCAGACACCCCTGAACCATTTTGCCTGAAAAGCGTGCTGGGCAGACCCTGGTGGGGACTGCATAATCCTAAATGGTTTCCATGCAATAAAGCCGTGAGTAACAGAAAACTGATTCTTAGCATGGGGTGTATCGCGTGATTTCAGCGACGGGCAGTGCTCCCAGCCCCGCTTGAAGGTGGTGTCTGTGCACAAAGGCAAACGTAGAGGGAGGGATGCTGCTGGTGTCCACGTTGGATGACTGTCCCCATCCTTTCCCTGCAGTTGTTTCTGTGAGTGCCTGCTCAGCTCCCGTGCCATTGAGGTGTGTTTAGACACGCGGGGTTTTATGCTCTCTCCATCAAGACTTTGAATCAGACGGGGGGAGGCAGCTGGGTACGATGCCTTGGTCTGGAAGGAGCTGTGACTGTAGGAGCAGCCCTCCCTGCAGACTTTGTTCCATGGGGATAGCGCGGTTGCTGAACTCTCCCAGGTGTGGGATGGGTAGGGAACAGGTTAATTAGCACCTGGGCACGCTGCTTCTGGGCTGTGGCGGATGGGATGAGCCTCCACGAGCAGCACAGCTCATTAGACATGCTGCCACACTCCTCCCAGACTGTCTCCCCAGGAAGAGGAGAAGTGAGGGCAGAGCAGATAACCTGGCTGGAGCCAACCAGACACACTTACTCCCAGATGAGAGCTGCTGGGAGCACAGCAGTAACGGAGGTGTGAGAAATCCTGCAGGCACTTTGAGTTTTCAAAGGTTCCCTTTCAAAATTATCTCTGTCCGTTCAGGAGCATGGCAAGAATTAAATTACAGGATGGGGACAGGGAAACGTGTGAAGATTTCTATGCAAGTATATGTGGAGAAGCTTCCCTTAAGCAGGGTGGAAATGTGCATCTTGGTTTAAACTGGTTTGGAAGGCAGGCTGGGTCAGGCGTGTGGGGCATGGCAGGACATGGCAGGGAGGGTGACTCGTGGTCACCCCGGGAATTGATGGGAAATTTGTCAAGATCTGATTATGGAGCAAAGAACCATCAGACCTGCTGGTGTCCCCGGTGTGGTGTTGGTGTTTGAAAGCGGTGTGGTCCTCACTGACCCTCATTGTGCTGAGCCTGGGATGAATTCAGGCTTGCTAGGTTGTCTGGAGGGGGATCACAGCCCTGGATCTTGGGCTGGATGGGGAGGACATGACTCCACACACATGGTAGGTACAAGCTAGAAGCTGTTCTGGGACAGAGCCTTCGATGTGACCCCCGAGAAGGCAAAGATGTGATGAACTTCTGTGTAAGGAACACTCAACTTACTCTTTCTAAAGCTCCTCCCAAGGCCAAGCAATGCTTTATTGTGATCTTGTGCCCAAGTGACAGGGGCATTGTCCATGCAGGAGCCCACCCAAATGGCCCTCTTCCCTTCTCCGTCAGTTCTGTGTGCCCTTAGTTGGAGCTGGGTGCAGAGTGTTTGTACACCTGAGCTGTCTCCTGCCTGGAAGCCCACCCCACATGGCCCTCTTCCCTTCTCCATCAGTTAGTTCTGTGTGCCCTTAGTTGGAGCTGGGTGCAGAGTGTTTGTACACCTGAGCTGTCTCCTGCCTGGAACCGGTGCAAGGACCTTACGGTGGCACTGCCCGTTCTGTCCCTGAGCAGGCAGCTTTGCTTTCCGGGCTGTCAATTTGCTCTTTCCATCAGCGTGAAAAACAAACTGCAAACCAAGAAAGTAGGGCAAGAATTGCCCTCATCCCCTTTATAGGCTCCCCCCTTTCCTCCTGCACAAAAAAAAACCCCTCCAGCGAACAACACAGCCCTTGTTTATCCCTCTCCTCCTTGTTCACGCAGCTGGAAGGAGGTGGGTGCCACAGCAGGGGCCAACGTGGTTGATTGAGATGCTGCTCTCCAGCGTGGGTAGCTCATTAGTCCGGTGGCTTGCTCTGGAATTTTCATCTTGTCGGAAATGGGGATCGTGTGGCTCCTGCAGCCTCCGTGATGAGAGCTTCCCCCGCTTCCCCCAGTCTGTGCATCGCACGGGAGAGCTGCTTAGGTGGGGTGTGGGTGCGCAGGCGTGAGCGTACGTGTCCGTGTGAGCTCCTTTTGGACTGGCTCGCTCAAGGGAAGGGTGAATTCTGGGTGATAATGTGGTTGTTTCTCTGATTTGTTCCAAAGCTAAAAGTTGCAAAATCAATACAGCAGATCTGATTAGATGTCAGAACCTGTTTTCTGTGTTTCTCTTTTTCTTTTTCTCCCCTCACCCCTCATGCATATCATGCTGTATTGTAACAAACTAGCCCAGAAATAGGCTTTGCCAACTGCACTGCAGGAGTGGAAAGAGAATAAGAAGACAAAAAGAAAAAGTCAGCTGTCAGAAAAAAAAAATGTTTGGGCTTTTTATTATTTTTTATATTTTTGCAAACAGACAAAACAGAAGAGCTTGCTCTCTTTTTGTCTTATGAGCTCTAATTGTCTATCATTAGCTCTCTGACAGGCTGGATGGTCTGTTCCCTGGACTTCTTGATCTGAGCTGTAGAGCTTTGGAAGAGTAATAAGTTCATGAAAGTCCTTGCAGCCTTATATCTCTGTGGTTGGGATGAAGAAATGTCGTGTACGTGTTAGAGCAAGAGATTGGGCTCCTCGGAGCTCTTGGGAATCTGGCTGCCGCTTGGAGTGGCAGTGTCTTGACATCTTTTCCCACATCTTCAAAACAGGAATAAAACTGACCCATCTCCTCAATGATTTGTGGCGCATAGTAAACACAGCTGTTTGAAAACTTGACATAGAAATAGCAATGGAAAGGCAGAGTGCTGCTGTTAACGCTATTGCTGATGCTGCTGTCAAGGCTTTTTTCAGGCACAGGTACTCGCTCAAGAAAATCCCAGCAGAAGAATGAATCCTTTGCAGAAGTGGGTTTAAAATCAGGGCTCGGTCACCCTGAGATAGTATAAGGCTGTAAAACACACACTGGGCTTGAAAATGTGCAGCGGTCTGGGTTTTGGAATACGAAATGTCACTTAAGCCAATATGTATGAAAGGAGGAAAGAAAGCAAGCGTGTATGTGTGGATCGGTGAAAAGAATGCTACGTGGAGACAAATTCAGTAAGTGCATAATAACAAATTGCAAAAAATATATTAGCCGTGTAGCCTGATCAAAATAGCATTTCTGTGAATTGCAGAGATCAGTAGTGACTCTAAACTCTAGCTGTTGCTAGAACTGGCCTTTGAGGTGACTGTCTTATCACTGTGACTATTACATTTGCTCCATTAGAGCCTCGTATAACAGTGTGGTGTAAATTGCAATCCTTGTACATTATCCTGCTTGAATGATGCTGTCAGCTCTGCTGCTTTGTCAGCATGTCATAAACTCCTGGGCAGCTCAGTTAAAGTCCAGCTCAGCCCTGCGCTCCTCATCACACCTCATCCTTGCGATATCTACTCCAGTATTTTCCCACAAAAAGGTTTATCCTCCCTCACAGCACTCAGTACTTGCTGTCTCGGGCCCCTGCTCAATCACCTTTATGGGTTCTCCCTCTTTGGATAACCACCAAAGCCTGGTAGCAGAGCTCCCATCTCTGCTGAGAGATCTTAATTAGTTCACCAAGTTCTGATGATTGGATAAGCAAACTTTGGCTGGTGCCATTTTTGTCTTTGGCAGAAGTCTTGGTATCTCTTAGGTGCCCAGAGAAAGGAGGGAAGAAGGAAGAGGAGATATTTACATAGAGGTGACCTTGTTTTGGGTAGTCAAGTCTGAAAGATGATCCTGTTTCTCATCTTTGGGTCACACAGTAGGTGAGATCTTGGCAGGAAGAAATAATAGAAAAGGAATTAACCTGAGAGTCTCCTTTCCTGGAATAATATGGCCTGCAAATGTGGTCCATTCTGGATCCAAAATAATAGTCCACGGTCATAGAATCATAGGATGGTTAGGGTTGGAAAGGACCTTAAAGATCATCGAGTTCCAACCCCCTGTCATCTGGGATCGATCTCCAAAGGATTGTCCTTATTGCCCTTGGGTAGAGTTTTGCCATGTTAAGCAGCAGGTGGGTTATTGAGCTTGATCTTCAAAGCATAGCGAATATTAGGTGTAATCAAGAAAGCAGACTGACTTTTCTTTGGAGAGACAGTTATCATGGCAGACGGGACTTCAGGAGCCATTGCATTGTCCTAGACATGGGCACTGCCACAAGGCTGGTGACCAGCAGGGCTGGCTCTGCCCTGACCTGGAAGGCAGTCAGAATACATCCTGCCGGGGCATCTGTTGCCCTTGTCACTGAAGCTAATGTTCAGATGGGCACAGATATGTCTTCCTGTTCAAGCGCACACACTGGCAAATGTTATTCCCGGTCACATGCTGTTGGCTCATTCCTCTGTGAAATCCTGATGAACTCGTTGGCGATGCTGTGAACATATGAAACATCAGCTTGGATGGTAACTGCTCCGTTAAAAGCGCTCGAGACATGATCCTGGCATGGAGGTGTTTCTGCAGAGGGGCTAGGATTGGGCTTTGGGCTCCTGAGAGCTCCCTGCAGGTCTCCCTGCCTAGGTGAAGGGAGTCCAAGAGAAATGAG